TGTATACATATGAAATTGCAGATCCTTAAAGATGTGTCATTTTAAGTATAAAAGTGTATTCTCATTTTTGGCTACTGTTGATTTTTGACTCGTGGTGACCCCATGTGACAGAGTAGAACTGCCCCATAGGGTTTTCTTGGCTGAAATCTTTACAGGAGCAAATCACCAGGTCTTTCCCCTGAGAGCAGCTGGGTGGGTTCAAACTGCCAGTCTTTCAGTTAGCAGCCAGGTGCTTAACCGTTTGCTCCAAAATTCTCAGTTGATTAAAACTCTATTCAATGAAAATTCTTAGACACTCTAATGGGCACAGCTAAATTACTCCATTAAAGCTTTACCAGATTTTGCTCTCCAATTAGTGTGTGAAATTTTCCTAAGAATCTCACAAATATTTGTCATTATGCAAATTTTTAGAGTTGTTTCCAATGCGATAGTATGTCATTTTAATCTGTTTCTCTGATTAATGAATTTAGCATCTTTTAAAATGCTTATTGGCCATTTACACTTCCTCTTCTCTGAATTACTTGTGTGTACAGTATATACATTGCCCTTTTTTTTTCTTTCTTTGGTCTCTTATGGATTGAATTTTGTTCCTTACTCTGTTTGCATACTGCAAATATTTTCTCTTTGTCTGTCACTTATCTTTGTTTATGGTTTCTTTTGTACAAAACATTTTAATTTTGTTGTAGTCAAGTTCATCAATCTTCTCCTGGGTTTTTTACATTATGTGTTATAAAGTTAGTGCTGTATGAATCAGGGTCCTCTCAGGAAAGAGAAACTACACAGTAACTTGAACAGGGAAAGTTTAATGTAAAGAATTATTAGCTGTAACAGGAGATCAGAGCCACAAGGGATGGGCTAAAGAATTCTATTCGAATAGCAGCTATAAAGAACAGCCTCTCCCCCTAGGCTGAGATACAGCAACCAAGGAAGACCTCCCTCCCCTGCCACCAACACTGAGATCTAGACCTTGTTGGAGAGGGCACTGCTTTGTCTCACTGGATGGCAGAAAAGTCGTTGTGGTGCCATGCCTGTGGAACCTGCTGGAAATCCACCCTCCAGACTTCCAGGAAGTCCCCCTCTTGGGTACATTGAGAAGTGTCTTTTCAGAGGCAGTCTGCTATGAACTTCCCCGGTGATTGCTGGGTGAAGCTGCTGGCCGCTGGCTGCTACTGGCCACCATGCACTGTAGGAGCCTGACTCTGGAGAAGCCACCCGCGCGCAGGGATCTAGTGCTGGAGCAGCAGCGTGGCTGCAGGATCCTGATGCTGCAGAAACCAGGAAGGCACCTCTCTCTAGCAATAGCTCTTCAGAGCCCTCTACTGACAAAGCTTGACATTGTGCCAGCTGACAAAGGAGAAATACTTAGTTTCTTTTCTGCAGAATGAACAATAAAAGATTTAGAGCAAAAAGAGCTATAAATTGATAATTAATACATTACTGTACCTGGCATGTATTTCTGGAATGATTTGAGATAAATTATTTTACAGTATTTTTTGAAAAGATAAAAATTGCAAACAATCTCCAAGTCAATCAATAAATGATTGAATAAACTGTGGTACTTCCATATCACAGATTACTATGCAGCAAGAATGAGGTGCACGTATAGATATATGTACTAATATTATTCCATTCTGCTGTACATAAGGTCGCCATGAGTGGGAGCCAGCTCTGCAGCAACTAACAATTAATAAGATCTCCAAGTCATATTTTTAACGAAAATTAACATAAGATTTTAAATTATGAAGCATATTCTGTATTACGATATATACATGTATGTGCATCTAAGTGCATATAAACCTATAGGGTAGGATGCATATCAAACGGAAAAGAGTGATTTCCTTCTGTAAAAAGGATGTAAACATTCTTAAGAATATAAGCAAAAACAAACAAATTAAAAACTAAAAGCAATCTACTTATTATTCAAACACGATATATGTAATAAAGCAAGCTTAATGAAATAGGGAACTAGAATGTTGAAGCTTTAGAGGGATCCAGGATTGAGAAATGGACAATTTAATGTGACAGTTAGTTCACTAGTATTAGTGTCTAACCTGACTTCAAAGCATGAAAGAAAAATCCTCAAGAATTATAAAAATTAAGAATTCCTTTCTCTAAATCCAGTTTAAAAAAATGAATTCCTATTGCTCTTTGAGTAGTTATAAGTTCATCAAGTTGCTGTAGTCATGACTCTGAGAGGCGCTAGTATATCATGTGAATGCACTTCACAAAGTTTAAGGCATCGTATAAGTGGAAGGTTGGAGTTTTATTATTAAATATGTGTTGATGTTGCTAACTGAAAAACTAAGCTTTGTAAAAAAAAAAAAAAACACTAAGCTTTGCACCATAAAAAGGGTGGGGTTTGTTTATTTTTTCTTCTGCAAAGAAAGGAAGGGGAAAAAAGTGAGATGGGAGAAAGCCTAAATGAATTATTATTTCAAGATTTTAACAAGTCTTGTAAATAAGAAGGAAAAAAAAAGTCCTGGAAAGAAATCAGTGATTTCACAATATCAAATATGAAAAATGGCCAAATTTATGACTACTGTTAAGCAATAATGTTTGATGAGTGTCTGAATATAGGCAGTCCCCGGGTTAAGAATGTCCAGCTTACAGGGACAACTTGTACTTGCTCTTTAATGTTATGTAAATTTGCCCTCACTTTGAAACAATTGAACCAACTCCTACTCAAAACAAATTATTCGTTCCAATTGCCTTCACTTGCTGTACATGCAACTTTTAAATCACTGAAAAGACTTCAAGCCTTTTCTTTCACTAAAGTAAGAACCTTATGCATCTGTTCCAAATTACCTGCACATTCTTAAAGACACTCAGGGATGAATCTCATTCGTAAACCAAGGACTGTATATCTAGAGCATTGTTTCTTTAAGGGCACAAATCAGGCAGAACCTCAGTCCTATTTATTTTCTGATTATGCAAACATACGAGACTGGGAAATATGCCTTGAGTTGAAATAAAAAGTACGAAGATTTAAGGCTTAATTAGCATTCAAATCAACATTGCAAAGAATCATGTATTTACAGCAAATATCAATCTATGCTAGGCTTATGAAGGAATTTTGATTTAATTCTTTTTATTACCTGTGTCTTCATGGAGCTAGAGAAAGTAAATTAGTAAAATCTGTGATTCATAAGCTTTATATCACTAATTAAAGTTACCAGTATTTTTTTAGGGAGAAAAAATTATGGAACATTATGTTTGTACAGTTGGGCCTATTTCTAGATTGGAGTTAAAAAATTGATTTTTTTTTCCAGTTTTTGTTTTATCTATTATAATGCTTAGCTAATAGCAATTTTGACAAAAGTTAAGAAAAATTTTACTCTGTCACTCCTGGATTTTTCCTGCTATGCTTTGTTGTTCTAATTTGATCCTGTTGGCATTTCTTTTAAATTGATCAAGAAACCAAAGTGTTTGCTAAATACAGATGCTAGATTATTTCATTATATAGAATGAGATTTGAGTTGTTCATAGAATTATGGAATTTTAAAGCAAGAAATGAATTTAGCAATCAGTCTAATCCCTGAAAGTTTTCGATGAAGAAACTAAGGGCTAGAGGAATTGAATTTGAATTTGACTGCAGTTTTAAAAAAAGATAATTTCACCTATCAGATGAGCAAAATTCTCAAAGCGTGATAACATACTATATTGATAAGAGTATAGAAAAATAGGCATACTTGTACACTGCTGATAGCAGGCAATTTGGCTGTGCCTATCAAAATGGCACATGCATATATGCTCTTTGATTCAGTGTTTCTACTTCTAAGGATTTATGCTATCAATATATATACTTAAAAATGAACTATTTGTTGCAGTGTTTTTTGAACTAGCAAAAATTTGAAACTTTAACTTTCGTCAGATAGTCTCTAATATGCAGAATCTCTAATAGAAATATGACAGAGCTGTAAAAATGAATGAGGAGGCCCTTTAAGTAGCTGGAGGGAAAGATTGCCGAGATTTTTTTTTTTTAATAAACTAAATGAATACTGTACATAGTATGCTACTATTTTGTAGACAAGTGAATAAGCAAATATATTTTATGCTTTTGTAGTTGCTTTTATGTGCAAAATATCTTCTAATAACCAGAGTTGCCTATTGTGGGGGGAGGGAATCTGAGTGCCTGGGGGGCAAAGAGGAACTTTCCACTGGTTATTCTTTTATACTTGATTTTGATGACCTATAGATATAGCTAGATAGATAGGAAGTTAGATGGGTAATTGGAAACACTGACTAACTAAGACTTATACGAAGGATGGTAAAAGATCTCCTAACTTAGTAGATTAAAAGTAATAAAAAGTTTAAAATGTTTAGTCAAGGAGTCTTAGGGTAAATATGATAGCAGCATTCACAAACTGATGGACTGTCAGGTGGAAATCGATGGTCCTGTGTTTTTTTCTGTGTGCAAGATCTAGTGCCTCTGTATAGGTAATGGCTTCCCAACAGCTGGAGCCCTTCAGTAGTGGAGGAGCTGTCTCAGGACATAATGTGTGCAGTGTGGTCCCATGGTGAGCACATGCGAGTCTAGGGCTCTTCCTGCTTTGTTATGTGATTTCAGAATAATAGCAGGCATCTTATTTGTTCCACTTCAGAGGATTAGTACAAAATAAAAATTTTGAATAAAATAAAACACATGGTCAGTTTGATCAGTTTTTAAATTCACACGGTAAATTATCTGATAATAATATATTCAGAAGTAGTCCTCCTAAGATTACTTTATAAGAATCTTTATAATTAACATCCATTTGCAAACTCACACTTAATATGCGAAAACACATCATATAACATCTTAACCATGTAAGAAGTGTCCTAGGCAATTTTTTTTTTGTCCTATTGTAGCTAACCTCCTGTTTATAGCTAACACAAAAATAAAAATAAAGCCTACCTTAGGTCCAATTGACTCAAATGTCAAATTATTAAAATTTTATTACTTATAACTTCACAGAATAAAAATTGTGTGTGTTTGTGTGTGTTATTTGTTTTTCTTTTAGGCAGAGGTTGAAAAAATAATTGCAGTTGCCTGGGACATTTTTCAGCCCCTTCTTTTTGGATTAATTGGAGCAGAGGTATCTATTGCATCTCTCAGACCAGAAACTGTTGGTAAGAATTTCAAAGTACACTTTTGAACTAAAATCTTCTCTTTCTATATTCAGTTAAAATACCTTTAGCAGGCATGTGTCCAGTGGTTTCCATTATCACAGTTATATAGAACGTCAATTACATGTGTAGTCATGTTAGACTAGTTGGTTAGAAGAGAATGCTGGTAAATCCAAGGCAGTGAACTCTACACCTTTAATATTGTTGTGCCTTGTAAAGATGACACTACTGACCACTATCAAGAGATTACAGGCTTTAAACTTTTTCTTCCAATGATAAGAATGTTATCGTTCATTTAAACCGTTCTGACTAAGGGCCAGAAGTTTAAAACAACTAGTCAGTTCTATAATATGTGCCCATGGAATAGAAATGGTTGTTGATTCATCCACTCCTTTATTCATCCATATATTCAAATCATCATATTAAAACTCTCTTGATTCATAGCATAACACTTGAATATTAATTTGAACAAATACTTATGAGTTCATCCTTTACTCCCATCACAATATTCTTCCATCTGTACCAGGGACCCCATCCTCTGCCGCCTCCTTCTGAATCTCAGAGAACAATCCTTCCGTTTTGCTCATACATCTTCAAACACCCTTATCTCAGTTTCTTCCTCTTCAGAATTTAAACAGACTCTAATCATTTCTGTCTTAACAAGTATATATCCTTTCTCCAATTTCCTTCCCCCAATGTATCACTCCTCCATTTCACCCCCCGCCATCTACCACACTACCTTTCTCTTCTTCTTTCAGACTTTTTAAAAGAGGTAACTACATTCCCCTTTTCCACTTCAGTTCCCATCCACTTTCTCAATACACTTCAGTGCAGCTTCTGCCCCATCACACGGCAGACCTTGCTCTCACCAGCAGAATTTGATGCTATTGACCTCTTTAACACTCTTTTAGGTTGAATTCTGAAACTTCTTACTTTCCAGTGCCCTTTATATTCTCCTTTACACTATGTATAGTTTAAACATTGTTCTTCATTAAAGATCTTTCCAAATCACCTACTTTTCTCACTCTATATCACTTCTCAGAACTTCCAATGGCTTAATTTATAAACTATGTAATTCCAAAATATTTATCTCTAAATTAAACTCAGTATATCTAAAACTCACTCATCATCCTGTCCCCAAACATGCTCGTCCTTCAGCTTCTGGGAATGGTGCCATCTCTTTTGTATCTTGTACTTCAGGCGAAACATACTTTTCAATACCTACCAACCTGAAAGAAATACACTTCAAAAAAGAGTCGCAAAATCTTTCCATAAAGAAACCCTATTGCAGATTCACAACAGATCATCCAGCAGTATCTGTCCGGAGTTTTACGAGCCCTTTGAAGTTGGAAAAGTTACTTATCCTTTCTGAACTACTTTTTTTTTTTTTTCAACTGTAAAATGAGAATAATAGTAGCACCTATGCCACAGGTTGTGTGGGTTGAGTAAAATTGTGCATCTAAAACTTAGCACAGTAACGGGCACAGAGTAAACTCTCAACAAATGTTACTTTTTAAAAAAAAGAAAATCATCTTATTACTCAATAGTCACCTTAGCTGTACCTTTATCAGGTCCAGTAGCCTGCAGCTGCCCTAGTCAAAATCCCTTATTTTACAAATCAGGTTGAAACTTTCTTCATCAATAAAGGGTTCAAAGCAACTGAATTAATTAGCTATATGTCATCCAGGGATAATATGCTGTTACTATACACCAATATGGTGAAACAGTTGTGTACTACCAGTGCCCATTCTCACTGGTCATTGCATAGCCAGCTCCATTCTGATTGGCTGATAAATACTTTGAATATCACCTCTGGTCTTTTATTCTGTAAAGAATTCTAAGCCTCCTTGGTCAAAATGTTAATTTTTCCCTCTTCTATGCCTTCTTACTGGTTTGTTTATACTGCACTTACCACGTAGTATGTGAACTCATTGCTTATGTTTTTGTCTTCCTCTGACTTCGATGCTCATAAAGGCAGAGTCTGTACATTATACATCTTTATGTACCCAGTGACCAGTTCAAAGCGTGTCACGCATAATTATCACTTAATAAATTCTTGTTAAATAAAAAGAAAGTGTGGTTCTTGCTATAAAGCATAAGAGATATAACATTCATATCTCCTTTGTAGAAATTCAAATATGTTTAATTAATTTCTAGTTTTAATCTAGGGAAAACGTCTTATTTTAAACACGTGATCTGATTGGTTCTTAATATTGATTTTTTGATAAATTATGCCTAACCATTTTTGTATTTTTCATTTTGTAATGTTCTTTCATTATTTCTGTTGGTAGTATTTTGAATCTGTAACCATGACATGCAGTTTCTCCCCCAGTGTTTCATTATTTATAAGAACTGAGTTTTTCTTACAGGCCTTTGTATTGCCACCCTGGGCATTGCAGTATTGATACGAATTTTGACTACATTTCTGATGGTGTGTTTTGCTGGTTTTAACATAAAGGAAAAGATATTTATTTCTTTTGCATGGCTTCCTAAGGCCACAGTCCAGGTAATGACAGATAAGATGGCTTGGCATTTTAACTTCTATTTCTATATGATACCTTGAAATATTGAATGAGAGAGCTTATTTATCTTTAGTGTATTGATTCCTTAAAATATGATGAATTATTTAAATTTTTTTTTTAGATCACTAGGGTGCAACTAAAAATCTAATAAATCCCTACACTGCTAGAAAGCAGTAGTAGCAGGAGAGAAAGGTTTGAATTTTTACCAGTCATAGCTCTTTAAATAACCTAGAGAGATAGTTGTTACCTCTTTTCATTACAATATTCCAAGAAGAGAGTGAAACTGAAATAGCATGGCCCATTTTAGTGGTTGAAAATACTTCAATGTCAATATAATTAATGATCAATGATGCTTGGCCAGATTTTATATATAATGGAGAAAAGATTTATTGAAAACAACTCAGAAAGTGCTTTATTGATTTTCTAGATTGTTAGTTGATTTTATTTAAACAAGCGTAAGCTCCTGCCAAGTGTTGCATTCACTCAACTTGAAATTTTGTGTACTATAATGAGCAAGTAGTTATGAAAGCACTTAGAGATAGGTGCTTGAAATTGTTGATCGTGCATTTGTTAGAATACTTGTAATTGCTAACTAAATTAGAACTGTATAGACTATGATTTGCAACAAACATAATATTTTCCTGATTGCATTCAGACTAATTGTAACAGTTATTTAAGTATACAAATTTATATTTCTATGGAATTAAAATTAGTTGTTCTTAATTGGTGCAGTGGTTAAGAGCTTGGCTGCTAAAAAAAAGGTTGGCAGTTTGAATCCATCAACCACTCCTTGGAAACCCTATGGGATAGTTCTACTCTGTCCTGTAGGTTGTTATGAGTTGGAATCAGCTCAGTGGCAGAGAGTTTATTTTGTTTTGTTTTGTTTTGTTTTGGAGAATGTGTACGCTCTGTAATTATATACCAGATTTTTGTGGCTTTGACCGTGGGCATTATTGCAGAGAAGTTTCTCTTTTTTTCCATAAGATTTTCAAAGATGTCTGAAACATAATGATTAAGAGCACTGTGAGATTAACGTAGTACAATAAAGGGAACAGCTTTTCCCTCAGAGTGTTTCTAGCTTTCACATGGCTTCTGGTAACTTTAGCAGGTAAATACTGAAACAAAGATTCTAGTAGCGTTGGTATGAACAATTTGTTATAAAACATTAAAATTTGAAAAATGACACTTTGCTACTATGAAGCCAAATTTTAAAATAAGGAAAAATATCCAGGATATATTGGATAATTCTTGTTCTGTTTTGTGCTGAAAATTTTTTTTCTCCTTTGCCACTGCACAAGAAACAAGACTTTCTTATATATTTCTGTATCAGTGTTTTTCAAACTCTTTTGTCTGTGGCCTACTATAAGAAATATATTTTACATCAGAACCCAGCTGTCTTAGTTATCTAATGCTACTATAATGGAAATACTACAAGTGGGTGGCTTTAACAAACAGAAATTTACCTTTTAAGAAGCTAGAAGTCTGTACTCAGGGTGCTGGCTCTAGGGAAAGGCTTTCTCTTTCTGTTGACTCTAGGGAAGGTCCTTGTCTCTTTTCAACTTCTGTTTTTTGGGTCCTTGGAGATCTCATGTGGCTGACATCTGTCTTCCTCAAACTTTGCTTGCTTGCTTGTTTACTTCATCTGCTCTTTCGTATCTCATAAGAGATTGACTTAAGACACACCTTACACTAATACTGCCTCATTAACATAAAAAAGAATACCCATTCCCAAATGGGATTATAACCACTCCAGGGGTTAGGATTTACAACACATATTTTTTGGGGACACAGTTCAATCCAAAACACCAGCCAATACACAAATCCCAAAACATACACATACATTTACATGTACTGAAAGAACTGAAAATATATTTTGCAGTGTGTGCAGTTCTTGCCAAGAATCCATGAAATGTTGAATTAGTTAGGGTACAGGGTAAGCTGCAGTAACAAACAGCCCCCAAATACAGGGACTAAATGAGATTTTTATCTTTCTCTCACCAGTAGTTCAGCATAGGCATTTCAGAGCTGGCAGGGTGAATGCCATCTTCAACATGTGCCTTCCATCCATGTGTCCAAGGTAACAATTCCAACTCTCACAATTTCCCATCCAGTGGAAAGGGGGAAAAGATAAGGGACATGCTTGTCCATTCCTTTTCAGGGCCCTGTCTATATGTTGCACTTATCATTTCTGCTCACTTCTTAGTGGCCAGAATTTACGTACATAGTTACATCTAGTTGCAAATGACACTGGAAAAAATTTTTTCTTGAACAGCTATGTAACCAGCTAAAACTCAGGAGGTCTGTTATAGAAGAGGAACATTCAGGTATTTGTGAGCAACTACTAGTCTCTGCCATTGTGTCTGATGCTCTCAATATTTTCTTATGTGTTTGGTTGTCTTAGAGGCTGTGTTGTGCTCTGTGGAATAAAGAGATAATCACATTGATTGATACATTTTTCCACTGCAAATTGATAATACTGTACTTTGCCTCTAAAAGAAAATGAGAATTTTCCTAATACTTAGATAAATTCTAAATAACCTTTTCACTATTCCTGAGGCAAGAGTTACCAAATACCTAATAAGATTAACTTCAAGTTCCTGAAGGTACCTGTCACTTGCAAGTTTCATGATGTTTAACAATTAGTTTAGCCTCTAAAGCAATACATACTCTTACATTTTTAGCCCAAATCTAAAACTGCACCATCTTCCAAAAAGTATCACTGCATTTTTCCTCTTGTTTTTTCTTAATGCCAAATTTCTAAAGATAAAAGAATGAAGCAACCATTGACATGCATCTTTATTCAGGAGAAATTTAGTACGCGGACTTTATGTTATATTGTAATTGATATTGTGAGTCTGTATCTGCATAGTGTTCTGAAATTCATTTGCCTGGTATTTAGATAATCCTGCCCTATACATGTAAGTACATTTGAATCATCAGTCTGTCAGATAATCAAAACCAATTGCAGTACACTTTGAAAGAAGACTAAATAGAACTTTTTCTTAGTTCAACAAAAGAAAAAGCTTTTTTTAATTTTTGCAAAGGATTAATTCACCTTTTTTGTATGTACTTATCTTACCATATTTCCTACTTTACCCTTAAACTTTTATAGGCTGCAATAGGATCTGTGGCTTTGGACACAGCAAGATCACATGGAGAGAAACAGCTGGAAGACTATGGAATGGATGTGTTGACAGTGGCATTTTTGGCCATCCTCATTACAGCCCCAATTGGAAGTCTCCTTATTGGTTTGCTGGGCCCCAGGCTTCTCCAGAAAGTTAAACATCAAAATAAAGGTGAAGAAGTTCAAGGAGAGCCTTCTGAACAAGTTTAGAGGTGAAAAGAGACAATGATGAATATAATAAATAGAAAACTGCTACCAGAGGCTACTTTATCAAGATGGAAGTTGAAATATGTAATGTTCAAGCTTAAAATGCAGTAGAACCGTGGCTATTTCTTTATGACGGCAGTAATACTCTGCATCTCCAATCCCGATTTCTCTACCTTCTTTTTTTTTCCCCCAAACTCTCCTTCATCATATGTCTTTATTTTTATTGGGACATAATCTACTTTAGTGTTCTACCATAATTTAATATTAACATGAGAAAGAATGAGTTCAGTTACCAGCCAACAGCTTGCCCTAACTTCCAGTTACTGTCACAGTTTCACGATTCACAGTCACTTAGACTCTCATCCTTTGAATTGGTTTTGCCTCCTTTTTTTTTTTTTTAAACACCGTAATGAAGTCCCTCATCAATTCCTACCCACTTTTTCCTTGCTATTCTTCCTCTTCTTTTTCTATTTCACTTACTACTTTTCTGAGAATAATTGTAACTGATTAGTCCCTACCAAATTTTTAAAGTACACAGGAATTTACATTGGTTTTTCCTCTTGCCCCCATCTAAATGTCAAAAGACCTTATCCTATTCCCTAACTGGCTAGCCAGAGTCCTCCATTTCAGTGGCCCATCTGAGTTACCTTCCCCAGAGAGTGTCCTAATCCAGCTCTTTTTTATTATTTTTCTTATGACCCATGTCTTTAGGGCCTTTCTGTTCCCAAATGAGAGATAGCTAACTTTCAAATCTATGTCATGCTCATGACTATTATATTAATTAGGGTAAAGGTAATATACTATAATGAAGAGACAAAACATACAGTACGTAAGAGAAAATAGAAATGTATTTCTTCCTGTGAAACTGGCTGACTGGTTGATGGTGATGGAGTTGTTCTGCTTATAAGTTCATTCAGAGACCCATGACCTTCCATCATGAGACTCTGTCATGCCCTAGCTTAGGACATTGGTTCAAGTTCAGTCTCTACCATGTCTCTTTCCTAGCCCTCGGGAAGAAGGAAAAGAGAAAGTCAAAGGCAAGCAATTTATTTTTAAGGAAGTATCTTAGTTATCTAGTGCTGCTATAACAGAAATACCACAAGTGGATGGCTTTAACAAAGAGAAATTTATTCTGTCACAGTCTAGTAGCCTAGAAGTCTGAATTCAGGGTGCCAGCTCCCGGGGAAGGCTTTTTCTGTTTTTCAGCTCTGCAGGAAGGTTCTTGTCATCACTCTTCCCCTGGTCTAGGAGCTTTTCAGCGCAGGGACCCTGGGACCAAAGGACACGGGCTCTTGGCTCTTCTGTCTTGGTGGTAGAGGTCCCCATGTCTCTCTGCTTGCTTCTTTCTTTTATATCTCAAAAGAGATTGATTTAAGACACAACCTAATCTTGTAGATTCAGTCCTGCCTCATTAACATAACTGCCGATAACCCCACCTCATTAACATCATAGAGGTAGGATTTACAACACTTAGGAAAATCACATCAGATGACAGAATGGTGGAAATCACACAATACTGGGATCATGGCCTAGCCAAGTTGACACATATTTTTGGGGTGGACATAATTCAATCCATAACAGGAAGCGATATAGAAGTTGGCGAATCTCTCCTCTTACATTCTATTGGTGATGGCCACACCTAGCTGTGAGAAGGCTGAGAAGTATTGTCTGTTGCTAAGCATCCTTATTCCTAGGAGGAACAAAAGATTAGAGAGCCAGAGCTACCGCTGTGTTGGATGTTACCATCACTTAGTAATTTATTTGTGCATCTTAACAAGGGCCTTCTGAAGACAGTAGCTTAAACCAAAAGAGTGACTTCTGTGGCAGGAATTTCAGACCTTCTGACAGCCAGCAGAGAAGTATTAGAAGAAAGGCTTATCTGCATAGGTCACATCCTATCCCACTTAACACAAAAGGCCCTGTCTGGATTTGTGTATCACCCATAGTTTGTCTCCACTCTAGGTCATCCCCTACCTAGTTGCAAGAATAATCACATTCAAATACAACTTATATCATGTGCTATGTATACCTGAAGTATTTATTTATATCACATCTGAACTCTTTAACCTAGAATCCAGAATTCAAGCTAATCTTGATGTAGATATTAAATGAGTGAATGATGACTGTTCTAATCCCCCCAAGCTGATTTGCATAAAGCTTGTCTACTCCTTTCATTAGACTACTGGGCTGCCATTTCTACCACGGCCTTCACCTCTATTCAAAAGTTTGAATAGCTTAATACTCTCCACTTCTAAACAGGTTTTGTTTTTATGATGTTAGCCAGACTCTGGGTACTTTATGGTATTATGTTCCCTTAGTATTTATGTTCTCAGTTGGAACTGGAATCATTTCTACCAAAGGTCAGATGGACATTTCCAACTGAACTTCCTTGGTTAGTTGTACCTTGGTTGGGGCTCCATAAACTTAATGTTGATCTGGTCCTCTATTTTTGTAGGCTCTAAAACTATATTCATTCAACAACTACTTACTGAAAGCCTTTGGTGATCCAGGCACATCATCAGGACTAATATTTGTTCCTTTCCTTAAGGATCTGACAATCAGCTAGAGGAAACAGACAAAAGATTGCAAAACAGTATGATAAGTGCTGTTCTGTAGGAAGTACAGGGGCCCTAGGGACCTCATAGCAGGGCCACCCAGGGGTGGTCCGGTTGGGCACGGCTCCCCAGAGAAAGTAGAGCCTTGGCTGGGACCTGAGAGGTGATTAGGATTTAGCTAATAAAAGGGGTATGGGGCAGAAGAGTACTGTAATTACTATATTCCCCATGTGACCAGTAGATTAGATAGAAATAATTAACATTTGGATCCCTGCAAGTGGGCTATGCATGTACCCTATACATACTGTCAGAGCACCAGTAACACTTTTTTCAGTTTGTTTATATGCTTGTCTCCTATTAAATCAGCTCCTTAGGAGCAGGAGCCTTATCTTGGTCATCTTTGAATCCTCAGCAATTAGCAGAGGGCATGGAACACAATAGGCATTTAATAAACTTTTACTGACTGAATCCGTGAGCAGATCCTCTTCCAGTATCAAAAGAAAACTACTTGTCACATAACATTTCAGATCTGGAGTGTCACATTTCCAAGAATGATGCTAAACACTGGAAATTCTTTATCTTCAATGCCCTTCTTTCCCTAGGCTCTGTGACATCCATCTCCCTCTGTGAAGTATTTTTTCAGACACCCTGATTAGGTTTGAGGTCTTTACATTATTTTCACATCTCAGTTTTTTCTCTCTGCTGTTAACCCCAAATAACCTTGATTGAACTTGGGTGTCCTCAACATTTCCTCAGCCATTCATTTACAAATAATTTTATCCATTACATTCTTTAAAAATAGCAGTGATTATATTTTTTTCTGATTACAAAAGTAATACACTTTCATTTCAGAAAATTCAGAACACAGAAAAAAGTACAAAGAAGAAAACAATTTTTTTTCAATTTTATTTATTTTGTTGTTGTTGAGCTTATACACAGCAAAACATACACCAGTTCAGCCATTTCTATATATACCATTCAGTGATACTGATTACATTCTTTGAGTTGTGCAGCCATTCTCATCTTGCTTTTCTGAGTTATTCCTCCCCCATTAACGTAATTTCACTGCTCCCTAAGGTTCCTGTCTATCAAGTTACTGTTGTCAATTTGATCCCATATAGTTCTTAAAAGAGCATCATGCTCAAGGCAGACATTTTTTACTAGTTAAGCTAAATTATTGTTTGCTTTTAAGAAGACTTCAGGGGATATTTTTGGTTTAAGTTTTAAAGATTCTCAGGGCAATAGTTTCTAGGGTTCATCCAACCTTCATGGCTCCAGGAAGTCTGGAGTCCATGAGAATTTGAAATTCTTTTCTACATTTTTCTTCTTTTGATCAGGATTCTTCTATAGAATCTTTGATTAAAATGTTCAATAATGGTAGCTGGACACCAGTTCAGGTCTCATGGCAAAGGAGGCAGTTATTCATGGAGTCAATTACCAACACATTCCATATCCTCCTATTTCTGATGCTCCTTCTTCCTCTGTTGCTCCAGGAAAATTGAGAGCAATTGTTGTGCCTCGGAAGGCTGCTTGCAATCTTTTAAGACCCCAGGCACTATGCAGCAAACTAGGCAGGTAGAACACAAGCACTAAACATGTTATTAAGCCAGTTAACTGGGATGCCCTATGAAACCATGACCCTAAACCTCCAAACCAAGAAACCATATTCCATGAGGTTTTTGGTTGTCCATAAGCAGCCTCAGCGTCTACCTTTTTTGTTGTTGTTGTTGTAAAAAATATCACACAACTTTTGCCAATTCAACTTTTTACAGGTATACAACTTAATTGCAGCAATTACAATAATCAGCTGTGCAGCTACAGCCTTAATCAATGCGATACTTCCATCACTTAACCCTTTCCGGCCCCTGCTAACCACTAATAAACTTTGTTCTCTGTATATTTGCCTTTTCTTGTCTTTTTATATAATGAAGTCATACAATATTTGTTGTTTTGTGATGGACTTATTTTACTCAGAATAATATCTTCCAGCTCCATCCGTATTGTAGCATGTATCAGGACTTCATTTCTCCTACTGGCTGAATAGTTTTCCATTGTATGTATGTACCACATTTTGTTTATCCGTTCATCTGTTGATGGGCATTTAGGTTGTTTCTACCTTTTGGCTGTTATGAATAGTGCTGCAATGAACACTGGTGTACAAGTCTCTATTCAAGTCTCTGCTTTCAAGTCTTTTGGGTATATACTTAGGAGGAATTGCTGTGTCATATGTAGTTCTATTTTTAGGTTTTTGAGGACCCACCACACTGTTTTCCACAACAGCTGTACCATTTTGTGAGGATAATCTTAATGTAAACACCTATTTTATTCTTATTATCTTAAATTTTATTCTTGCAGTTTTGGAAGGTGTCTTATTTTCAGAAAGATACAGTATGCACAGAATTAACTGGGTGAAAGACCATTTTATATCTGACGTCTATGGAGATATATATAGATTGAAGAGTTTTGTTGCATGTAATGAAGGCTAAGTCTTCAAAAAAGTCATTTATTCATGTGGTACCACTTGAATATTCCTTTTTCCATGAATAATAAAGATCCTTGCCTTCACGGAGCTTACATTTTAAATCACTAACTCAAAATACACTTATACCTACTATATGCCAAGCATTGTGCTAGGTTCCAGGGATACAATGATGAACAAGATAGTCAAGGGCTCTGTTTTCAGTGAAACTTGAATTCCAGTGGGAGATAAACTGTGTTTGACACCGGGGGGGGATACAAATATGAATGACATGGTACTTGCCTTCAAGAACTTTACAAAAAAATAAGATGTGCATTAATACCTGTAATTGTTAATAGCTATAATTAATCTCTGAGTGGCGCAAATGGTTAAGAGCTCAGCTGCTAACCCAAAGGTTAGCAGCTCAAGTCCACCCAGAGGCACCTTGGAAGAAAGGCCTTCCAAAAAGTCTGCCACTGAAAACCCTATGGATCACAGTTCTACTCTGACACACAAAGTCCCCATCAGTTGGTAATCAACTCCACTGTGACTTTTTTTTTTTTTTAATAGCTGTAATACAAATGAACAATTTAAAAGAGTTCTTTACAGTGGGAAAATTGAAGACTTCTAGTGAATAGGATTAATGGGTAATATTGGGAAGTGAGGTGAAGACAGGAACAAATAGGTGGAGGGCCCTAATATCAGCAAAGGGCGGAAACAATAAAGCCCGGAGTAAGTTACTGGCACTTAAGGTTGATAAAGAGAATTAGTGAGAGATAAGACTGGAAAGTTGGCACTTAAATCATGCCAGATAGGTCATTAGCCAAATATCTATCTTTCATTTCAGTTCTTTCAGTAGTATGAAATCATTTCTGTAGATGACATTTTTAAACTATTTGCAAAGCATCAAATTTAGTAAATTCTGTCATGAGGAAGATTGTCCTTGTTCCTCAAAGGTTTTATGCTTTCTCTGACATTGTTGCAAGTATAATCAATTTATTTTTAAATTACTATACATTTTTTTACAAGAAAAGGTGTCAAATGTATCTTTAAATGTATTTTTAAACCATTGTTAATTTTT